TCGAACCCGTGTCCAGGCCGCGACATCCCTACACCTAGAATCGATCGAGGCAACGCGATCCTTCGTCGGTCCGAATAACCCCGCGCGAGAATAAAGCTCCTTTAATCGTTTAGGAGCAACACAAGGCCGAGAAAATGGCGGAGAGGGCATCCGGTTTCGAGGATTCGATGGACAACGAATATCAATTGCAAATGCAGCAGCATTGGAAACAATTTCCGAACCCGGGCTCGCGAATCCCGACGAAATCGAACTACGTCATTGGTCGATACGCCTCTAACGTGCCTAACGTCGGTCAAGCATGGTCGGTGAGTATATACGCGCATTCTGCCTGCTACGCCTAACGTTTCCGTTCTATTCTAATCCGGTCCAGCCTAATCCGCTCTCTGGGCGAGACGAGACGCCGATTATTCGATGAAATCTCATCGCGTTTTCCTTGCACGATCGGTACCCTGGTGTATTGTTTGTTTCTAGAGAAGCGGACCTCAGTCCCGTGAGTACATGTTGGGTTAGTCTCGCCTCGACACAGCCATCGATCGTAAAATGGGAAACGAATCCGAGGATCCGTCTATCTCGGGTACACGTCCATGCACGGCACGAACACTTTATCTCTATCGATCCGTCATAGGTCGAATCCATGTCGAAACGCTGGATGACCACGCAACCCATCCACCCCACGGTTCCATTTTCGTTCTCGCGAACAGTCTTGATTCCGTTTTCTCGATTTCTAGCTCTTTATTTTCACCTGCCTTCGACCAAACGAAATACTCGATGGAAACGGATCGAGACGAATTGGAACGAATTGGAACGAATTGGAACGAATTGGAACGAATTGGAATGAATTCGAACGAATTCGAACGAATCAGAATGGATCGGAAAGAATCGGAAAGAACCGGAACCCAAAGTGGTTCGCGCGAACCGTATCTACCTTTGTACAACTACATATATTATAGTTTGACAAATCTATATTTTCTTAATTCGTTCAGACTTGTACACCGCTCCGTGCCACTTGCTCGTCTTCTACGTATTCGCTGTCTCGATGCAAGCTATCTCGGAATACGAACAGAAATCGCGGACGAAACACGGTCAAACGGAAAGATCTTTCGTAACGAGCAATGAATTTTTAACGAAACACGCGTCTCTGTCGCGTAGTATTCGTGTTCGGTGTAATAGTAACGCGACTAGATCTCGTACCTGCGCGCTGATAGTCCTTTAGACTCGAACGAATCGATTATTCCTTTTCATCGCCTCTCCGCGTTATTTACGGAAGTTATTCTTGCGAGTCGTCTCGTCGACGGTTTCTTTCTTTTCTCCCAGAACGAGAGCGAACCGCTCCTCAGGATACCGTGTAACGGAAGGCAAACGTTAGGCTATCGATGCTGGCTATCGTCAAATATCCCATCGAAAATTCAAGGAAAGCGTAATCAAATTATCCGATGCATCCTGATTTTCACCGCCTCATTTCAACTTGGACAATAAAATAGAAAGACTAATATTTTGAAAAATTTGACAATACTACACCGCACGACACACGCGTATACTGCTACACGGACACAAACACAGACACACACGCACACGCACACGCACACGCACACGCACCACGGACACGCAAACAAATAAAACATGCGCGTATATTTAATTAAGATAAGAGACTATAAAGCATAATCAATGGAACTTTACGAATGACAATAATTAATCTTAAGGAATATATATATATATATATATATATATATATATATATATATATATATATATATATATATATATATATATATATATATATATACATACACCATAGCCCGTACGTGCAATCGACACGACTATGGTTGCATTTGCGATTGTAATTTTGCAATTTCAATTTGAAATTTTACCATGTATACCTTCGTGGGATGACTATTATCGTGTAATGATATTTATTATGAAAGCGCGAACGGAAGAGAAACCTGTAGGATCGAGTTGAATTTCCCGAGCGAGAAGACTTCCTACTCGAAAGAATGTGTATCGACTACACGTACGTGTGATTCGAATTCGACCCCCGAGCGGTCTCGATCGATTGCCCGATCTCTTTTTAATCGAGCAAATAATTGCGATTCGCGACCTTCACCCTGGCCCGTATATCTACCGAACCGAAGAACACTGAACTTTCCACCACGCCGTATCGCTGAATTATTGGATTTACAATTGATTCTTTCGAGACTTACTTCCGAGACTTCCGAGACGATAGGAAATTCGATGCAAACGATAGACGCTCGAGGGTCCGTTTCCAACATCTAACACGATAAATGTAATGTTTCTTCTAATTGTACCACAAACGATTAAATAGGCTACAAACAGACATTTACGTGGCTTAAACCATATCTTGTGCTGAGAACTTACCACTTTCAGCCCCTACAATGTGTACAAAATAGATACTTCTGAATAATTATACAAAATCATTTGATATCGGAAGCGATTTTAATGCCCGATCACGAGTACTTTATAGATCGAAGTATTTCGGCGCGACACCTGCGTACACCAAAGAAATACACTTATCCGGGCATGCATCGAAACGTATATACAATCCGATGCACGGCTAGAATAATTCCACGTTTCGTATACTATGTTTCTTTGTACGATATATGTTCGCGTATATCGCGCGAGTCCAACTATCGTTACGTTCTTCGCGCTCGTTGAGTTTTCAAAAGCAGACAGCTCTGGCCGAGTTTCTCGAATCCTATTAGGAAATCGGTGCCCGATGTCTGAAACTAGAGAGACTGCTGGTCGTACAATCTGTGGACAACGATTCCACTTGTACTTATTCGAAATCTTTCCTTAGGAAGATTTTGCTTTCGACACCTGAAGCTGTTATACATGATAAACTATATCCTGGACAATATTAACGATAGAAGCTTCGTCCACGCTACACTGAATTACCCTAACAAATCGAAGATACACGGATCAAACGATCGAAACCTTTCGAATTTACTCGCGTTAACCGCATACCTATTCATTCGAGTATTCCTCGCTTCCATGAAACTCGATCATTCCGCATTACGAGAATTCCTTTTTATTCCTTCTTCGATTTGTTCCATATTACTTGTATACTTTCGAATGTACAATCATTTACGTTCCTCTCGAAACTTATTCCACGCCATTATATAATTTATAAATAAACGCTCTGGACAATAATAAAATTATCCTTATTAGCGATAAGACTTTCCTAGTATCGATAACGTTATAGTACTAGTGCTATTGAAACGCCTATGTATTTTAACAAATAAAATACCAAGATCACAAATAAAGACAATGATAGAGAAATATATGGGAACGAACGTAAAGACCGAAACGAAACGAAACGAAACGAAACGAAACGAAAATAAGCTGCTAATGGAAGAAACCCTATTACCCTCTTATACGCGTAAACGTACACGTGGAATTTATAAATATTTATCGCATTTCAACGTGTAAACAATAAATCACTGTAAAAATAATATTTCAAATAAAACAATTACTTTCGGTTCATCGATCGACTAATTTTCAACTTGTCCATTCTAATCTTCGAGAGAAAGAATATTATGTACCTAAATAAATACCCAGCTAACAAACATTCACGTCGAATTCCATACCGGCGGAGGCTCGGCTACCATGTTTCCTAGTTTACCAACAAACTAGTTCCCTAGTTTACCAACATCCTAGTTTCCTAGTTTCCTAGTTTCCTAGTTTCCTAGCTTTTTAAAAGGACCGAGCGTGCACGTGGAGCGTGCCTCTGTGCACTTTTAGCTTTTAGTAAATAACAATCGTAAACTGGTGTACTCGATACAACCGCCTAACGACATTGCGTTGCAGAAACTATTATTATAGATTTATACCAACTTCTCAACGTTTAATGCTAATGGCGGCTTTCTTTGTCACTTGTAACTTGTAGCCAATTTCACGTCGAACACGGTACACGCGTTGCTTATAATTCTCTTAGAAATGTTTCTCTCGGAGCTCTTCGATATACCGTTCGTTTAAAGCATTTCTAGATATCAGTGAAATATTCTATATTTACCAATTATGATATACTACTCGTAAAAACAGATATCGAATCATTAAAATCGAAAAGAAATGGCTCTTTTCAACGTAACTTGCACCATGTTTCGCCTACATCGGCATGCCAGCATGCAATTCCAATCGATCAAAACAACGGTTAACGTATTATTAAATCCAACTCGAACATATGTAAGATGGATGAATCGTAGACCAGTTGCAATTGTTAACGAAGAAGAACTTTACGATACCGAGGACACTACCAAGGAAAAGTTTATAGAAAAAAGGGAAGCTCCATCGAAGAAACCGATCAGAAAGGAACAGAGCAAAAAAGCCACGGATACTTCTGCTTCTGAGAAGAAGAAACCGTTCACTGTATTCGAACATAACGATAAAACTATAACGTAGGTTAATACTCTAATCTACAATATAATAATATACCATTTAATAATTGGATTTGACGTAAAGATAAAATTCTTGTTAATTCGTGCGAATCTCTTGATTTAGATCTTTAATGACCAAAGTTAAATCACGAAAAAGAAGAGAGAAGAACGATATGATCATTTTAGAAGGACACAGATTAATCAACGACGCGGTCAAGGCTGGTGCAGAGTTAGATATATTGCTTTTTAATAACAAAGATGATTTAAATCTATTGAATCTTCCTAGCAACGCGCAACTTTACAAAGTTCCATATAAAACTATTCAATTATGGTCTAGTTTATTTCATTCTCCTGGACTAATAGGTAATATTCGAATAAATCGATTATTAAATATAATACAATGGTATAGCTGTAATAATTTATCTTTTTCGATATAGGAATTTTCAAAACTCCCGACGTGTCTAATAATGCTCCTGCTGAAAATGCATTACCGCTTACCGTTATTTGCGACAATATCAGAGACCCAGGAAATTTGGGATCGATTATGAGAGCTGTTGCAGCTGTAGGCTGTGAAAAATTAATACTAATTAAAGGTATATAACCCAATGGCGAATCCAAGCCATTTTATCCATTTTATTATTCGTATCGTATAAGATTAATCGTATAAATGTACAAACTAATACCGTTTAGGTTGCATCGATCTGTGGGATCCGAAAGTTCTTCGAGCTGCGAGCGGTGCTCATTTTCGAGTGCCCATTCACGCGTTTCCAACATGGGCCGACATTTCACCGTTGCTAAGCGAAGACTCCAACGTTTTCGTAACAGACAGTAACTTCAGAGATGAGTTTCTGTCGCATTATAACACTGAAACGCTAGAACCCAGCATGGGGATATTTAACGTCGATCCGGAACTATTGAAATTAAAGACTATCGACAGCAATAACGAGAATGAAACCGTAAAATCTAAACTGAGAACACCACTGAATAAGAAAACGATGGCAGAGTTTTTGTTGAAACTTCCTATTGTACCATATTACACTATAGATTATACGAGAAAAGAAATCGTTCTTGTCCTAACCGGTGAAACGGAAGGTTTGACTGTCGATTCGTATAAATTCTTAAACGAACGGAATGGTATACGTATCAATATACCATTGGCAAACGGAGTCGACAGTTTAAATACAGGAGTCGCTCTTGGCATTGTTACGTTTGAAATAAAAAGGCAATTTATAAAGAGACAAAACGAACTTTAATAAAGATATATCGATTAATTTCTGCCTTATTTGATGATGATGATGATGATGATGATGATGATGATGATGATGATGATGATGATGATGACGATGACGATGACGATGACGATGATGACGTTGATGTTGATGACTTTATAAATGATAAAGCTTTAACTCTCATTGCCGATGGGTTGAGCAGCAGCCGGACGAACTGTGAAATTTCAGAGTAACAGAAGCTGTATTAGAAGAATTGTTCGTATTAGATCCGTTCGTTACGGAACACTTACTGGTACAAGTTTGAGGCTGGAATTTGATGTCGTCGATAGCGAAACCTCCATTGCTGGCGCTTCCTCGCAAGACAAGGTGGTAAGGTAGACGCGCGTCTATCGTAACTTGTGCCGCCGTCCATACGGGTCTAGGATTATTAAACCCTTTTGCCGTTAACGACCACAACTGAAAGGAAAATGAACCGAAATTGAAATTGAAATTGAAATTGAAACTGAAATCGAAAGTTTTACGTTTCCTTCTATTCGGAGTAGAGGCGTCTTACGGGTTGCTCCTGGTTCCCATTATCTTCCTGACTGGCTTTCCCTTCTTCGACGTTGATCTTAATGATTTGCAGCGTGGTAGACTCCTCGACTCCAAACGCAGCGAACCAAAAAGTAAAGCAAACGGATTCTTCGTCCGGCGAGCTCTGTATAATTGGCGATCGTAGTCGTACGTCGGTTGACTTTTTATTGTTGGTGAAAATGTCGAAGAAAACAAAGTCACCGGTTGCTCCGAAAGTTTTGTCCAGCAACTGAGCCGGTCGATGAGCGAGGAAAGCACGTTGCCAAGTAACGGCGCGTTCATTGTCCGAGGAAGTAATGTTTTCCCAACCGCACAAACCTTTCTCGAAGCTGCAATCTTCCGGCCTTACCGATGCACTCGGCGGTTTCACTGGATTTAATTGAATCGCGGTTTAATTGAGCGATTATTTGAAATGCAAGCGAAAACGGGCAGAATAGTCCACAACTGACCTGTACAGTTGCCGGTATAAAAGGAAACGTCGTCGATACCTATGTGGCCGCTAGCTCGATTCGGACCCCAAGTAGCCTCGAAGACCACGTCAAAATTTCTCTTTTCGTTTACGTTCACCTGCGCGTAATTCCACGTGGGCCCTTGATTATTGTATAGTCGCCAAATTGGTCTGGATTCGACGGAAGAGTCCCCGGTTATCTGCACAGATACTCGAAGTACTCCTTGAAAGGTGAAAACGCTGTTAAGAAACTCAAAGTATCTCTCGTATCTGATCGTTATTCTGAATGCCGTTGTTATCATGATATCGTGGACACACCTAGACTCGGTCCGGTAGAATCGATAAAGGATTCGAACATAAAGTACCAAAAAGTGATGCAAAGAGGCTCCTCGGTGGGTTTGATCTCACGGCTGATGAGCTGCGCCGTACCTCCTCCGGAGGATCGAGGCCCTCCTCGCGGACGTCCCAGTCCGAGGAAAAACTCGTTCCTCCGATTGATCGTGTAGCCGTTACTGTACAGTTTCCGCTGGTTTCTCGGGCTGAGCGCTTGAAACGATACCCTTTCCCATTCGACGCGATCGGGGTCTCTGGAGTTGATCCAGTCGCATTCGTCGACTTCGAAACTGCAGTCTCGGGGTGTCGGTGCCGCGACTTGGGGTGACACTGTTCGGAGAAACGACCATTTTTCAACGAATCCTCGGATCAGAATCCTCTGATCTCGAGAGAACCGAGGAACGAGAGAATGCGTTCGTCGAAGCGTGTCTACCCGGACAAGATCCTTGAGCGAAGGAGATATCGTCGATGGCGATGTCTCCCATCCCGGAATTCCCTACCGAAGCCTCGAACACCAACTGGAAGTCGTCCAGGGAACCGATCGTGATCTCAGCGATGAACCAGGTATTTCCAGCGTTTCCGGTCAACGCCCAAATTTCTCGAAGCGGCGCGTCCAGGCTGCGGAAGTGACGCACGAACAGTTTCAAGCTCCCGATCCCGGCACCGAACATATGAAACCAGAAATGCAGACACATGGGAGTGTCGGGATTCGGCGCAGGGAAGCTCGTGCTGAGAAGCCTGGCCCTGTCCCCCGGTCTGCGAGGAAACGAGGAGTCTATGTACGCGTACCCTCCACCGGTCGAACGCTCGCCGGAACTATCCATGGCTGGCCCGGTCGTTGGATTTCCGCTTCCTCGGCTCTGACGGATTCGAACATGCGCATAATAATATCCTATTCATCATAATGTAATAATATATATATAACAATCAACCGACAATCGTCCAGTCGAAGTCGTCCTCCGGGTCGTTGCTCCAGTCGCAGAATCCGCCCGCGAAATTGCAAAAGCCGACGCAAGAGGTGCCCGGTTGGAAATCTATGTCGTCCACGGCCACGTAGCCCCTGTACAGGCGAGCCGGGTCCGTGGGATCCACGGGAATTCCCTCGAGGATCACCTACGCACGCGTCATCGAACCGAATTAATCCGACGAACGGAACACGTTCTTTGCGAACTCCCTAGGCGATATTCGACCAATTTACCGAGTGTAACTCGGGGTAAGTGTAGAGCAGTTGCGTCTGTTGCCAAACGCCGAGGGTGTAGTATTGCGCGTTCCAGATGATACGCTCGTCGAACGTTTCCGCTGGTTTGCAAGAGGGTATTATCGTCGCGTTCTCGGCCGCGATCTCTTCGGTCTCCTCCTTCTTGATCGAATACTCGTCCGTTCCCGTGTGAAGCAACACCCTCAGCCCGGCGACGCTCAGCCCGTCCATCGCGTACTTGAACATGACGCAGGTCCCGGTTACTCCCGTGCTAGCCAACTGTGGGCTGTGCAGCAGTCCCCCAGCGATTTTCGCGTTCCCCTCTTTCAGCGGCAACTGCGAGGTCTCCAAGAAACCGTATCTGCCGGCAGAAAGGAGCGAAGAAAGTTGTGTCGAGTCGGTTACCTTCTCTGCCAGCAACGGACGTACCCGCCCTCCATGGTTCCAGTCGTGTAATCGCTCGGGGGACCACCCATCCAATTGGTGCCCATACCGGTGCCCGGTGTCCAATCCAACGTGCCGTCGCCGTTTCGCCACTCGCAAAAGGTTTGCGTCGGAAACGAGCCAAAGTCGCAGAACACTTCGTCCACGGACGCCGTAGGGGGTGGCGCACTCGCCGAAGGGTACCTTGCGGACACATATCGTTTGAAAGTTTCCCGAAAGAATCGCTTCCCGAAACCGGTGCTTCTCACCTCTGCGTCGACGGGTTCCTCTGGGCGAGCGTAGGCGGATTGAGCGGATTGAGCGGATTGAGCGGATTGAGCGGATTGAGCGGACTTCGCGGCAACGAGAACGTCGTGGTGGAAGGAACGAAACCTTCCGTGTAGAACGCGTCCAATCCAACCGGTTGCCACTGCCTGGGCTCGATGCGTTCCACCTCGTCCAACGGTTCGCGGTCTCGATCGATCGAATTGTACGGGGTTTGCGTGAAATTGAACGCGTTCTCGGAATCCGACGAATCGACCGCGTCCTTCGTCTGATCGTTGGCGACGCTTCGAGTCCAATTCCTGTCGAAACTTCCGATTACACCTACCAAATCTATCTGTTCGCCGACCGTCGGATTCACGGGGTACCACGGTACCATATTCGCGGACGAAAACCAGAACAAACAGTAACGAATAATCAGCGTTAACCACATTTCTCGAGTCTTTATTGAAAATTCTTTGGATCGCAGAGAACTTTAGGCCCGACTGTTATATCCAGGACGGACGGAATATCTCGCGAACGACCAAAGAGCCAACCGGGAAGAAAGCTAATCGAAACCGATCGTACGTTGCGCATCGATGGACGACGATCAACGATCGCGACGATAAAGTCGACGACGATTCTCGACACGGTTTCTAGATCGTAGAACGGTTACCGCGCGACAGAAACGCGCAACGGGCCGATCTTCAAACAACTAAACCGAACGGACCGAACGGTTTTCGAGATATATGCGAGCGATGAAATAAAACGAGCATTCCGCAGTTCCGGCCTTTGCTTCCTGTCGTTACGCTGTTGAACCTGGTATACGGGAGCAAAGTTCGATAACCGGATCGACGAACAATTCCAGCGCGACGGTCAATTGTAATAATTCCGATATCTAAACGGAAGAGGAACAACCATACACGGATGGACAAACAACAATCGATCGAGATTAAGTAGCTTTAGGCTTTTCGCGTGGTTTCAGAAACTTTAGAAATACTTCGGAATCACGGTGATCGTTGTTCCCTCTGGTCAAAGTGCATGGGACGCGACCTAAATTTAAATAGGTTCGCCCGATGAAAGGAACCAGGTGCGGGCAAAGCATCAACTGATCCGTCTTCGGACGAGAAAACGGCAGCTTCCTCAACATCTTTGATATCAAGTTTACGAGAGCCGGTGACGTCCGATCGGGGAGAGGTCGTGGGCTTTCCTCGCACGTCATTCTCATAATTTCCGCAAAATCCTGTAAAGGATAAGAAATTAAGGATTAAGGATGTGCGGATTAAGAAATTTCCCTTTGTTACTTTGAATCACAGTTTCTAGATTTCTCGCGCGTTTACCGTGCCAGGAAAGGGATGTCTCTTCGTCGCCATCTCGTACAGGACAACTCCCATGCTCCATATATCGCATTTGAAATCGTAACATCGTCCCTCGAACATCTCCGGAGCCATGTAATAAAAGGATCCAGCGCGGCACAGTCCGGAAGGATCGGCCAATCTGCGAGGAAGGTTGATCGGTGAAACCCGAGTAGCCGGACACGTGGATCTCTCTCTATGGAAGGATACTTTTGAATAAAAGCCTACTCTTGGAAATTCTTCGATACGCCGAAATCGCCGATTTGGACGATGTCGCCGCGATTTCCGGTTAGCATGATGTTCTCCGGCTTCAAATCGCGATGAAGAATCTTTTTGTAATGTATGTGATGAACGCCGAGAACTACTTGAGAGAACAAGTAGAGCGCATCCTATAACGTGCAGAGGAATTAATCCTTTCCCGATGTACCTACGTACATGTATTATACGTCTCGAAGAGAGACTCACTTCCTCGGTGAGCGGTGCTTCGCGTTTACTCAGTAAATCCTTGAGAGTGCAACGAGTCGCGTATTCCATCAGAATATAGCTGTGATCGTGTTCCATCCAGGCCCCGTGATAAGCCACTATGTTCGGGTGCCTCAGCTTGTGCAAACATTGCACCTCCCCTAATATATTCTGCGAGGAAATTCTTTAATTCGCCTTCCAGAAAACTTTTCTAATCCGTCACCGTCGCGAGCCATCGAAACGCGACGATGGGATTACGCGATTACGCGATTTAGCGACTACGCGATTTAGCGACTACACGATTTAGCGACTACGCGATTTAGCGACTACACGATTTAGCGACTACGCGATCGGACGATTACATTCGTTCCAGTTAGTCGAAAGTTTCGCGAAAACTCCAAAGCTGATACTCTCGAAACCCTCGAATAAGCAGATTATATCGTAGTTTCGAATTATTCGGTAATTAATAATACCGGTGTACAGCGGTGAAAGAACGATGCTTTACGCTCGAGTGAATAGTCTAAATAGTGCGTAGAAACAATATATTTCATATATTTTCCAAGCATTTCGGTATCTCTCACCTTGAAAGGCAACGCGTTCGTTGCATTTAAAGCTTGTTCCTTCACAACGAACGGCTTCGAATTTTTTTTTCTTCGTACTAGGTAAACGGACCTAAAACCAGTCGACGACAAACGAATATTTCCAGAGAAAACAGTGGATCGAAATACATACCCGAACGTTCCCTGGCCCAACAACGTTTCAAAAGTATAATCGCTTATGCGCGTCGACATGTTTCACTGAAATATTTCACCGAAACGAATCGTATTAGACGCTTACAACTGTTTACTGTTCGTCGAACAACAATGGACGTGTAGACACTCGAAACGTCCCGAACCAATCCTTTCTTCGCCCTTTCTCCTATTACCGTCTATTTCGTATTTTCCAATGTTTTCGTTTCACTTTCTCGTATCGATCGATTCTGACCTTTCAAATCGGTTCTATCGACCGATACACGTTCAATTTTTCCGAATAATTATACAGAAAAAAGATTGCCGATTACAACGAAGCGTCGACCTTACCGCGCCCCCCATAGTGGCGCGAAATTACAAAATCGGAACACTCGACATACGAATTCCACAAATACTTGAAACAAGAACTGGTAATACAGAGAGCGCAAAGAAATCGATGAACCAACCGATCAATTATTTTCCTACTCGAAGCAGAGCAATTGTTCGTTATATCGTATATCGTATATCGTATATCGTATATCGTGTTATATATTAAAAATATTACACATCGATCGTGAGTTTAACAATAGCAAAAATCGATCAACCGTCGAACCGTCGAATCCAAAAGACTGCGACTCGCATCGTACTAGTTTTATTTGCCTTTTTATTCCTTTTTTTTACAAATAACGCAATAAAGATTTCCATAAAGCGGTCAGATGTGTCGTATCTGAAAAAAATCTCACAATGCATCCGGAGGATTTCACAGTGGTAAACAACGCATATTGCAATAAAAAGAAGAAAAAAGAAAGACTACCGTCGGTTAGTTTACAATCAATCATACAAAATATTTCGACCGTGACGAGGAAAAACACTACGGAGAAACCAGGTTGTTCTACTCTGATATTCGAGAGGTACAGCGAAACGATGCATGCCATTTTAGAGAACTCGAGCATACATTCGTCGTTTCAAAGTGAAACTGAACGGACGAGCATGTTCATTGTGTGTAACGCTTACTCCAATGAAAAAAGCAAACAGCACCTTATACCCTAGTGCAATTTAGAATTAGATGACATTGCGATATATACAATGTCTCTCATAAGATGCACTGTATCTGACAAATGAAAAAAGTTTTAAATAAAAATAAAACAATTCTCGATGCTTACATACCACTCCATTTACAGCAGTATCGTCCGACATGCAAGCTGAATATTAAATGCGTCCGCAATATACTTAAATACTTTTCAACGATTCTTCTCGAAATTACGCCGATTAGAGTCTTTTATAAAACATTTAATATCTTTATTAAACCATTCGTTTCGGAACCTAAGATCGAATTAAGTCTATGCAACACCATATATACTGTGTGTGTCCGTATGTGCTTTACGGACCAGATTCCTCCATGGATACACCTCCCCTTTTCCACACACACGCACACGCA